TTATTTATATTTAGGAGCAAATATTATCAGAATTGAAGATTCTACCCAAGCTATTCCCTCTTCACAACAGATAACTCCTGGTGTACACCTGCTTTCCTGACATGAGAAATCATCTCCTTTAATTTAGATTTCATAAAAGTATACTAGAAATGGTTATCTATTTTTATTATTACTACTTTTATACACTTTAAATAAAGGATGATGTTTAAAACAAATAAATAAGATGATGAATGTTTTAAACAGGACCTTTACTTCTCTTACATTTACTTTTAAGATTTCACTTTTTCTATATACCTAGATAAATTACAAAGGTCTTGTCAAATTAATGAAGCTACTGAAATTACTTTCACCTACAAAATTTATTCTAGAAATAGAAAAATGAAAAAGGAGCACTTGTTTTTCATGTGACTTGTGTTGCATATTTTTTACGGTTGAGGACTTAAATCACAATTTGAGATTTATCCCCTATGACTTAAATAATAAAAGGAAACAAATTGAAAGATAAAAGAACTTTTAAATTCAGAAATATTAATTACAGTGTTACTTTTTACATGTGAATATTTCCAAAGTGAAGACTCATAATTTCATCCATCTTCACTTGGACATTAGCTAGACAGAAGCAAGGAAAATAAATGCATAAAACTGAAATTGTTATACATGTGAGAAAAAGTGCATAAATTACATGTAAATATAATTCAGCATATATAAACTATATACATGTATATACAGTGTATATACATATATAATAGTTATACACACACATATACACATGATTGCCCAATTACACATGTGTTATTGCTCCTATTATTTTTAAAAGGCCTATAGATACTAAACCGGACACTTATATGGTGAAATTAGTGATAGCTATTTATAATCCATTCACCTGAATTTTTTGCTGAGGATTTTGAGCTAAGTTATAAATGTCTAAGTTCAAATTAAACTAGCTCAACTCACTTAATTTAAGATGGAGTGTTCTTTTATTGTCATTTCCTTTCATATTATCTTGACTTGTTATTGTCCTGTCTCACATTTTGTAAAGCATTTCATTAATGTCGCCTTTGTCATAGCCATTTTACAACATTAATTGGCTCAGACAACATAACTGCAAAAGGATAGGACTGTGTGAACAATGGATTTACACTAAATGAATCAAAATAATACGTTGCAATAGTTAAAGAAAATTGTTCTGCAATTGCATTATCAACTTTTATAGTGCTAGAAACAAATATTCTTCTCAGATATCCAGGGTTTAAAATTAACATTCCTAGTTGAGGGGAAAAAATGCAAAATTCTAAGCTCAGTCATTAAACTTTCCTTGTAGTCTCTCTCTGAACTTTTTCATACTTACATATATATATTGTTTTTAGTATTTTGCAATTGGAGGAAGTAATGTAGCTTTTTAAATAAAAACATAAAAGCATCCACATAAATAATACTGTATATGATGAATAATATGTTAAAACTGTTACTGTGTCAAACTAATATTTCACTTTCAACTATTTTCCACTCACCATCTTATAATTAAAGGGACATTACAATACATTTTATTATTTTCAAATACTATTACTATAATTTATAGTAAAGTAGCAATGAATAATAGCAAATATCTGCCAGATCTGGGTCTGCTTCAGTCAAATTGACCATAACTGTGAGGTGAATTAGCAATATTTTTCTCAAAAATAATTTTTTACTGCAACAAAAACATGGAACAAATCCTAATCAGAGAACCTATATTAGTACCCATGGTACTTTCTGAAAACATATCTGGTATTATAAATTAAAGCTAACTTAAGTAATTCTAAGGCACAGCTAAAATAAGTAGCCTAGCCAAAGGGGTAGAAAACTCCATGGAAGCAAAAATTTATCTCCTTGAATACAAAATTCCATTCTCATATAAATTTATTTTCACTAAATAAAATTTATTCCTCATTCAAGAGTAAAATTACTACCTATATTTAAGACAAGACAGTCTTTCTGTATTTAATAAATATAAACATAATTATCAAGTTATATTGTAATTTGATATGGTTTATGGACACATATTTTTCAAATGTCAAAAGCACCAGGATCATTAGGGATTGTACTTTAACCTGATTTGTATAATATGCCATGTTATGAATGTGTTCATGGTTATTAAGGAAATGATTACTGTCAAAAGTATCTAGCTTTTCATTTTGAATTTCTATTATGCACATGCTTTCTACCATTCACCAGAGTATTTTATTAAGGAGTAATGGGGACATGATAAATCACTAGTTTAGAGGGACTCCATAGATCATGTTTTAAAACACTTACAGGTATTTAAAACACTGACTTTCTGTGCTTTAAAAAAAAAAAGAAGAAAGTCCTCAAGTGAAGGAGGGAAGGATGATTATAAAGAATAAGGAAAATGAGAGAACTATAAAAAAGCTAACTTGCGGGAAAGTAAAGAGAATAAACAAAAAAAAGAATGACACCTATTTAATTGTGGATCTGATCCTCCTGCACAAGAAAAGTACATTTCAATATTGTATGTAGAGAAATAGTGAATTATGTTTTTCTTTTTCTGCAATAATTCCAATGTACCTCAAATAATGGAAGACAGAAAATTTAGGTACAATGTGCCAAATGCAAGGCGGCCCTGAAAAGTTGCATTTTTGTATTGATATATGTGTGTTTTTATTTTATGCATACTTATGTTGATACCCATTTATAATTAATCAAGAGATATCTAAATATGTTCTTCTAGACATTCATGGGGCTTTTTAAAATGCAATGCCTTAATTTTTATATCAGTAACACAGCTTTAGAAGTTGCACGTCTTTTTTTATGAAAAAAAAAAGTAATGTAAGGCATTGGTGACTTGTGGTGAATTACATTCAACACATAACGATAATTTCTACTAAGGGCAGCTTAAGAAACCTGAGAACACTGGCCTCACTGCGCAGTTCTGCAGCTACAGGGTCTGTGAATCTCTGGAGCTCTGCTGCCCTCTACTGGCATAATGAGATAAGTGCCTGCCTCAAAGCTCCGGTTTCTTTCTATCAGTTTAGTTTCTTCCACAAACAAGATCCTGGCACCTTAAAAATCCAATTTTCTTTGGTTTCGCTCACATGTAAATGGATCATAACTTGGATTATTGTCATTAATTTTAAACATTATTTTAATATCATACAGAAAGAAAAACTCATTCAGCATCTTCTGTCTTAGTTCAAGCCTGACTGGGGCCAGTTGCAGTTAGATGGCTAGAAAAAAACCTAGTAGCTAAATATAACAATGACAACTTGTACAGATTAACAGGATTCTGACAGTCAAATTGGCTCCAGGGCCTTAGAGTTCGGTGTGTGTGTGTGTGTGTGTGTGTGTGTGTGTGTGTGTGTGATTTTACTGCATGTTTTTAAAAAAAAGAATAGCAATTTCACTTTCCTTTTTCTTTATGTCATTTACTATCTTAAGGTGCATGGATCCTTGATTCCTTGATTACCTTGTCTATATAATCCTGTACTTCTTAGCAATCTCCTTACTTTATTTTCTCCCAATCACAACCTGCCTAGGAAAAATGGTGCATCATTGGGTTTCTGAATTTGAAATTCATAATCCAAGAGTAAAAGTGAACTATATAAATCAGATTTTTTAAGTCCCAATTGTATCCTGGTATGTGATGGGGTGGTAGGTAATAAGATTTATCAATATCACAGTGCATCAAACTTGTTAATAAACTAGCTTTCTGTATAACAAGTAAAAGATTTAAAAAAAAATGGGAGCATGAAAGGCATGGCATAGCTGGAGTTTAAGGTTCAAGCTTGGTATCCTCTATATATAATGTATTATGTTTTTCAAAAACTTTTTATTAGGAAAGCTATACCAGACGCATAATCACTATACAATGATTAAACATTACCTTTACAATTTATAATCACTGAAATTACAGAATAAATATATGCACATTTCTTTTGAATCTTTGTGTGTGAGAGAGAAAACATTAAAAGTGCTTCCTACAAAGCTGTTAGTGATATATACCCAGTTGCTTTTTTATTTTTTAATATTATATATATATATATATATATGTATAAGAAAGTGCAGATGTTCTCCAAAAAAATCTTGGCATCAGGATGAAGTGTCACAAAGAGGGTGCTCATCCCTAGGTATGCTTCCAGCTGTTAAACCACCAGGCTTCCACTTCAGTAGGATCCAACCTAGAATATGACTTTTCCCAGGGTGGTAGGAGAGAGCTGTACACTAGGGGTGAAGGGAAGATGAAGCTATGAAGAGTAGAGGAATAGATCAAACCCAAAATAATTAGATTGGGTTGAAAAGGAATGGGGCGCGTGTTTGTGTGCGCATGCACACACACATGAGTACATTTGTGTGTGTGTGTGTGTGTGTGTGTATGTGCACGCCTGCACCAGAAGGAAGAGGCTGCAGGTTTAGGGACCTAACTGTGTGCAGGGATTTGTGATTTGCATGGGGGTATGTGTGTGACAGAAAAAAGAGTGGGTGAGAACATTCGAGCAAGACCCGCCCCCTCCCTCCCCGTCTTGCAGTTTCCAGGCATGCAGCAAACTGCATTGTTAATACATGTACAGAATCTGTGCCATGATGGGAGGAGGAAAGAAAGCCACAAATGTCAATTTGTTCCCCCCCACCCCATCAAACAAAACTACAACTAAAAAAAAAAAAATACTGAAAATAAAAAGACACATCGAATTTTACTTAATTAGGATCAATACAACGATCCCCAATATACCTCATACATGGCACAGTCAAAGTCTCAAGTTTCAGTATAAAAAATAATGATAACATTTGCTGGCAAAAGTCTGCGAAGGCACTTCATTGATTAATGATCTGAGTATGGCCCTTCCTCCAAATCACATCTGAGAGGGGAGAGCATACATCTGTATTTTCTAGTTATCATGCGATTTCAGTTCTGTTCAGGGCAGGGAAGTTTGTGAGAATGGAGTTATTGGGACAAGTGTAAAGGGAGCAAGGGATATATTTCTTTTATTTTCCTTTTCTTTTGGAAAAAAAAAAAGCACTAATTTATTTTTCTTTTACGGTTAGAACCTATATGTTGTCTTCTCCAGGACTTCGAGGTAATCCGGCTTGGTTTGAAGTTTGGCCCTTAACTCGAGGTAATCACTTTTTTGGGTTTGGTGGTCTGTGAAGCCCTTTCCAGCCGAGAAGAGAAGGGTTTCTTTGAGCCTGGCATCCTGCTGTAAGTCTGGGTATTGCATGCCAGGAGGGTGGACGTGCAGTTCCTTTAATTTGGGCACAGTGCCATAGAGACAATCCACGAATCCCACTGTGCAGGGGGCTGGCTGTGGCCTCTCTCGGTCTAGTAGCATACTGCCACCACCACAGCCTCCCCCAGGAGGAAACAGCACCACCCCACCATTCTTCTCATGGTGGCGGAACCCAGCCAAGTCTCCCCCAGTTCCCGCAACTACCCCTGAAACCCCACCAACTGCTGGGTGGTGAGGGTGAGGGTGATGGTGATTCACCGTCACTATGGTGTTGAGCTGGGAGCTGGACACTGCCAGGGCCCACTCTTTTTCTTTTTCCAGTAAGGTCCGGTAGTTGCTGTGGTTCTCCTTGGGTGTCTCAGCAAACTGCTCACTTCCTAGGAGAACCTCACCTATTCCTGGTTGTTGTGTCCCAGGACCCCCTCGTTCTGTGCTCCCTGCCTCCTGGACCGATGAAACAGCCACCTCCTCCTCCTCACGAGGCTTATAGATGGGGTTGTTGCACATCTGGGTAACTGGGTGGGGGATGTACTCATATACGTGGCCCACAGGAGGAGCCTTCTCTGGGGAGGAAAGAGTTGGTCTGCCCCCACCTCCACTTCCACCTCCACCACCGCCACCATCCTCAAAAAGCCGGTGGCACTGCATCTGGATGCCAGTAAGGTCCACACCTTCTTGCCTCTTGCTTCTAAAGGGCAGCTTCTTCCGGCGCCGTCGGAGCACATAGGCAAAGAGGCCTGCAGAAACAAAGACTGCAGAAAAAAAAAGAACCAGCAGGCTGAGAATCAACACAGAAAGTGGCACGGGGCCTCCAGGGGGCGAGAACTCATAAGGTGATGCACTTGTTGGCCCCCCAGCAAGGTGAGAATCTCCAGGCTGGGCTGGGGATGCTCCAGCTGGTGGGATGTGCAGCATCTCTGGGCAGAGAACTTCCAGCTCAATCGTGCGCACATCACGGTGGGTGAGGTTCTCAGGGCTCCTGCAAAGCACATCACCCACCACACTGACTGAGCTGATGGTTTCAATCCACTGTTTGAAGGGGACCAGGTCACAGGTACAGTCCCAAGGATTCTCATTGAGGTCTATCTGGACAATGGCATTTAAGTGTTCTAGGACACCAGCCACAGGAAGGTAGAGGAAGTAGTTCTTTCTCAGGTTGAGCCGGGCCAGGGATGTGCCTGCAAAGGCGTCTGTTGGTAGGGTCCTCAGCAAATTATTGTTGAGGAATAGCAGCTTCAAGTTGGGCATGAGGCTGAAGGCTGCAGGCTGGATTTCTCGGATGACATTGAACTCAAAGTACAAGTAGTGCAAACTCTGTAGGCCTCGGAACATGCCTGGTGTCAGCTTCTCGATATCGTTGCCATTGAGAAAGAGGCTCTTTAGGTTGGGCAGGTTGATGAAAGCTCCATCCTGGACATAAGAAATACGATTGTTTCCCAGATGCAAGAGATCCAGGGAGGAGAAATTCCAAAAATCAGAACGGTATATTTTCTGAATCAGATTGCTACTCAGGTAAAGTTTCTTGGCATTCAGTGGCCTTGGAAGAAGTTCAGAAATGTTATTAAATCCTCGCTCTTTGCAGTTGACAGTCAAACCAAGGTCGTTGATGTGCAAATTACAGGTACACCCAGTGGGACATATAATGGGGATGGGTGGTCTGGTCTGGTAAGGAGCAATAGGAGGTTGGTTTGGACCAGGATATAAAGCTTGGGATGTGGAGGGTGGCCTTGGTGTTCGGGGCTGTTTGGTGGGCTTGGGCTGTTTATTTGAGGACTTATATTCAACAGAAGAAGCAGTAAAATGGACAGAAGACAACATTGAGGAAGGCTTAGTTGGCCATGCATTCTCCTTGCTTGATGACAAGTGGGGAATCCCCAAACTAGCCTCCACCTCAGAGTCAGACAACAGGGGACAGAGTTCTGTCTTCCTGATTTCTCGCAGGTCCTTTCCATGGAAGTGGAAAGGGGTCTCACAGGTGATGTCTCCCACCAGGGCAGTGTAAGGAATGCGTTCCAGCCAACTCTTCAGTTGCACTATCTCACATGTACAGTTCCAAGGATTTTCTTCCAGCTGGAGCTCCATCAGGCTTCTGCCAATGTGGTCTAGCATTCCTCGGTAAAAAAGAACCTTTAACCTGTTTCCACGTAGGTCCAGATGGGTTAAGGAGACAGCCTTAAATAAATTGGTTGGAAGCATGGGGATGAGATTATCATTTAAAATCAGAACCCTCAATTTACTTAGGTTCCGAAATGTCCCACTCTCAATACGTTTAATGACATTGTAATCTGCCTGCAGGTATTCCAGACTCTCCAAGCCAAGGAAGGTGTCATTTCTGAAGATATCTAGTTTGTTTTCATGTAGATATAACCTCTTTAAAATCTTAAGACCATTGAAAGCTCCTGATTGAATGTCCTGCAATGCATTGTTCCCAAGGTTAATGGACACAGCGTTGTTCAAATGAAGAAAACTGTTGGTGTACAATTTCCTCATTGAATTCCTTTGCAGATACAGTTTAAAAGGTCTTGACCAGAACTCAGTAATCTGACTAATATTTGTAAATCCTTTACTGTCACAATGTATATGAAAGAGGCTTTCTTTAACTTCACAGTAGCATGGATCAAAACAGGGCTCATCTATTTCCTCTGAGTCCTCTATCAGGGGAATTGGGGTAGTCCATCCTAGAGCAATTGTGCTTAGAAGAATTATCCACAACATCCTTCCTCTGTGAAGCATCTCAGCTATGGAAGGTTTCATCGTTCGTAGTTGATTACAAAACTGCAACAGAAATAAAGATGCAGATTTTTAGCCTTTACTCATATGCACTATTCTAAGTGACTCCTACATTTGGAGCTTTTTAAAAGTGATACAAACTTTAGCAGTTGTTGAACTGACACTCAAAATGATCTGTCAACATGCTTAAATGACTTGTATTTAAACTTGGGTGACTTTGAAATATTGTGCCATGCAATGACATTTTCCTAAACCAAGCCATACTTGGTAAAGGGCACATCATACTAACACAAGCAGCCTTCATTGCATCTTACAGCAATCAAATGACTGGTATACAGTGATGCCTTTTAGATATAGGCAGATTCAGTAATAATGGCAGTAATTTGGCCATTACACCTGTTTGCCTACTAAAACTCACATTGATATCAGAAGTTCCCATTACAGATCAGATTGGGATTCTGATAGAAAATAAAGATTCTTTAAACTATAGGTTTCTACTCATAAAAAGATATAGCATACCACAAAGTTAATAGATTAGAGTGTGATAAAGTATGAGCCCATTGCTCAATATCAGAGGTTGAGATGTACAAGATGCTTGATATCTCAGGAAAACTTAAGATTTTGCTTAAGAGATGATCACAATGTACTTAATTATAGTGTATGCTCAGTATCGTAGTATACCCCCACCCTCTTTTTCCCAAGCACAGATTTTTAACATCCCCTTCAATTAAATAATTTCTACATAGGTGTATCATTTGGCTATTTAAACCCTTTAGGAGTGATTAGCCTTTCTAAAGAAGGAGCCCATGCGGTTGTCAGAGTTAAAGATAATGATAGCTAAAGGATGCTGAGCCTGGGAGTGTCTGTATTAAAACACTTGCAGAGCTTAGTTTGGAATGTGTGTCTGTGCCTTCAAGATCAACTGAGGAACCCTGTAAAAAGCTGGAATGGCAGGTGGCTGGTTAGAAGACAGTTGGGTAGTGAAAGGCAAGAAAAGGGTGGAAGCCTTGATTCTTACCTGCTGATAAATGATCTATCACACGAATTACATTTCAAAGAAAGACATCATTCTTTTCCAATCAGAAGAAACAAATACTGTGCACTATTCTAATAATACAGAGCCTTTCTCTATGGCTCTCTTTCCTTGCTTTATATCATCAGTATATGAAAATGCGTACATAAATAAATTATATTAATGCAGTTTTATTAGATTGCCCTTTCTGAGTCACTGAAATATCAATCAAAATTGAATGATTATTTTTAATCAATAAAAATAAACCAGAATTTTTAGCATATGTTTGCTCTCCACACGTAAGATACATACATTAAGAAAACATTTTGCCAACCCTCTGAAAACACAATGATATAATTTATAGGGAGAATGAAAAGAATAAATCTTCACATTCAACTTGCATATAATGTACACAGCTGTAAAGAAAGGAAGACCCACGAGAAAGCAAAGAGAAATCTGCCTCAGGCATGCAATACTCAATTTTTAGAAACAATTAAATGAAAAAAGAGAGAGAGAGACAGAGGCAGATGAAGCTACATTGCAGTATCAGTTAGTCTTCCCTGTCTCCCTTATAAAATATTAAAATCTACTTAAGTTCTTTCTTCACCATTTTTTAAATGTTTTTCTTGTTTCTGAGGTCCCTGAGATTTAGGCATGAAAGGCTCCAGATGTCTTTGACTTACCTATTTTGCAGGAGATTTTTTTTTTAAGAATTGAACATTGGAAGGAAAAAAAAAAAAAAAAAACCTTGAGTTTAAGGATTCTCTCTCCCTCTCCCTCCTTCCTTTTGCTGAAGCTGAAGCAAAGGGGGATAGAGGGGGTGGGTGGGGGAGACGAAGAGAAAAAATAAAAGCAAGCTTGAGACGTGCTGGGAATGCAATGGGCCTTTCAATGGGCTTTTTTAGGATGCAGAACTGCCGCTTGGCACACTCAATAGAGAAGGGAGGAGAAGGGGCTGCAGCAGGCTTCCAGCTCCGCTGCCGCCGCCGCTGCCGCCGCCGCCGCCGCCGCCGTGGTTGCTCTCTCTGGGTACCGGCAGCACATCATTGGGCACTGGGAGGAAGGGCGGGAGGGAGGCAGGGAGGAAGGCAGTCTCAACCCCAGTGCAGAATCTCGGACTTCTCTTGTGCTGGCTTTTTTTTTTTTTTTTTTTTTTTTTAATATGTGCTGTAACCCTGGATCCTGCTTTCCACGTCACGAAAATGAGCTCCAAGAAGGGAACGCGCTTAGCTTGGGGTCGGGAGCGAGCACTAGGAAGCCCTGACTATACAGAGTGTGTGTGTGTGTGTGTTTCTGTTTAAGGCATGAGGAAAGAAGTGGAGGGGTTCAGATAACAAACTGTCAAAATAAGAAACAGGAAAGCAGAGGCCAACCTAAGGGAAGCATTCCTCTGGTGGGGAAGGTGGAGGGGGGGAGGAGTGTCGGCATTTTTTTTCTTTTTATTATTATTATTACTTTTTTAACTCTCAAGGAAATCATCTCCTGGCTGTTTTGCTCCTCTGGTTTTCAGAGCTCCTCTCCCTAGTGTAGACAGGTTGTAAAGTAAGATTATCTTTCGGAATTATCCTTTTCATAGCGCAGACACTCCTCTCCAAAGACGGGGATAAAGGGAAATTCAGGTCCCCGAAGGAGAAGAGCTGGATCTAGCTGATTCTGCTTAGGTGTCCCGAATAAGAGCTCAGGCAGCCTGAGCGACTTGGACCGAGTTTCTCCTGCATTTTGCTTCGATCTCTTTGCACCAGGAATCCTTTTGTTGTGCTGCAGCTCAAAGCCTTCGATTTCCCCTGGATTCAACAGCCATGTGTTTGCTTCCACCTTTTTAAAAACAGAGACAGGCCAACGCAGGCCACTTGGTAACAATGGCACATTTCACTTTCTTCTACCGGAAAAAGACTTCGTGGGGATAGGGGGCAGCATTTCAGGGTTTAGATTTTTTTTTCCTCGACACTCCCCACCTCCCCACCCCCCCCCTTTTTTGGCCCAAATATTGCTCCGTGATATTTGGGGAAAGAGGAAAATAGGGAGTCGTGAGTGGGGGTGGGGGGTGATTGAGCGAAGACGTTGCAGTGAAGAGGGGCCACCAGATCACAGTTCACATGAACCCTCTAAGAAGGTTCTGACTGTGGAACTGACGGTTCTACAGTCCTACCTACTAGGACGAAAGACAGCTAGTAGGGAAACTGGAGAGAGGCAAGTGTGCAGCAAACGTGTCTAGTTAGCGGGAACTGTACGGCATCGATTGCCCTGCGCCCCCCGCCCCCGGCCCCCGCCGGCCCTCCGCACCAATCCTGTAACCAACTCCTGGGGAAGGGAGGGACTTTCTGGTTGCTAAAGAACTGGCCTGAACCTCAACTGCCCAAGGACTCAGTTATCGAGTAGAGATGGCTTTCCCTTAAAGCGCTTTTTACAAAATCAAATTTTAAAGAAAAAAAAAAAAAACACATCAATTCTTTACCATTCTAAATACATATGTCACTTAATGCAACATAAACGTTCCTTAAAAGTCAGTCATATAAGATTTGCATTATATTTTGCATTTAAAATGACCGCACAAGTGTCCACCGCTCCAGAGTAGCTAAGATTGGAAACAGCGATCACAGACTTAGTAAGCAGGAAGGCAAGATTCTCTAACACTCTACACCCTTAATATTCCAGACCCACCCTATTTCTCAGGTCGCAACTGAGCCGACCATCACCAACAGCCTGAACTCAGAACCAGAGCAATCCCATCTCCTTCACCAGAGGCCAGCCTACCCCCTCCCCCACCACACACACCACCTTTGGTACCCAACGTGCAAAGGTGGTGACTGTTTCACGGATCATATCAGAACCCATGATGCGATGGAATCGATGGGTAACCGGGAGGCTTCCCGGAGCTTCCCGGTGACGGTAAATGACCATCACTGTAATCGTCCTCTGTTCTCCCCTTAACTACATCCCCTCAAGTTCTTGATTTGGTCCATGTCCTAAAGGCTATTTCACCCTTTTCTTTTCCTTTGTCTCAGTATAATGTGTCTAAGTGATAGGAAGAGCTCCAAAAGTTAGGGGATGAAGGGCCCTGAAGCCCCGGTTTCGCCCGCTTCCTGCTGGGAGCACCCGGCATCATTTGTCCACGGGGAGGACAAGAAGCCCTTTTTCCCCACAGTGCCCCCTTCCTATCTCCCCCTCCCCTTTGCCGGATCTCCGAGCCCACTAATCTCTCCATATCTAAGATTAAATATTCCAACATGGAAGCAAAACAATCACCCCTTAGAACAAATAATTAAAATGCTGCATCATTCATTTTCTGAAGAGGTCTGAGCCTTCCACAGATCTTTTTCTAATCTGCTGTCTCCAGGCGAAACGCACAATGGGTATTTTTAGAAATGGAAAATGATTAAAACCTCAAGCCGTTTTCCTTCTTTTACAACATGAGCGAGCGACCCACTAGGGGAGGGGCCCTTCGCTCCGACACTTGGCCTATTTGTTGGAGTTACTTACAATTTCCTCCCCCAGAAAAGGGGTCCGAGGGTATGTTAGTCTCCAGTACCATTCCTTCTACCATTGTCCTTACAACTAAATGATCCAGTTCAAAAATGCAACAAACCTCTAGCACCTGTGAGCCTACAGAAGACATCGCTGCCAAACTCTATATGCTCTACAATGCACATCCTACTAGCGAGAAATACTGGTTTCAATTAGGCAAAGTAGGAAAGGATGGCGGCGAGTACCTATCCATGCAGAGCGCTCTAGATCTCCGAGATTTGCTCCGAGGGGCTGCCCAGCGGGAGGTGCAACCCTATATGCTCTACAATGCACATCCTACTAGCGAGAAATACTGGTTTCAATTAGGCAAAGTGGGAAAGGATGGCGGCGAGTACCTATCCATGCAGAGCGCTCTAGATCTCCGAGATTTGCTCCGAGGGGCTGCCCAGCGGGAGGTGCAAACTCTCTGGGAGGCTGAATTGTATCCATCGTGCCGTAGCCTTGCAGTTTCTCTTCCTCAGGCCACCAACTTTCAGTAAGGCCACCAAATCACGCTTGTAATCCTTTTAAGTGTTTCCACTTTTGAGACTTGAAGGGAAATGGTCGCTGCATACCAATGGGAGAGCCGGGCGCTCACCTAGCTTGACGTTGCCAGTGACAGGAGAGCTCAGGACCACAGTTCCATATACCTTCGATGGTAGACAGGCAGAGCGAGTGTCCTAGGACTGGGTTCTTTGACTTAAAATCTCGGTGCTCTCGATTAACTGTCGAGCTTCGTGGTCCCTGAGAGTCCTGGCTCGGTCTCTGGTTTTGTTTTTTGTTTTTTGTTTTTTGTTTTTTCCTTCCTCTTTCTCTTCCTTGCTTCCTGAAAGGTTGTCACTCAGTGCAAATCCCTGCCCAAGGCCTCCTTCGATCTGAGGAGATGGGACTAGCACTTATCTTCTCCCGGTGTCTTTGCTCTTGACCCTTTAGTAGGTAGGAGTGGGGGTGGGTGGTGTGTAGATGAGAGAAGGGGGTGGAGAGGGGCGGGAAGGAGGCAGGAAGGGGGCGACTAGATCCCAGATCCCAGCATTGGCCAGACGGTGAAGCGGGGGGGTGGGGGGGGGCGGGAGGGCCGGGGGGAGAGGGGGGAAGCGGGGGTAGAGAGAAAAAGAGAGGATACAAATACAACAGTATGGCTGTGCACACCAAATTCGACTTGGATTTGCGAGATCTCAGGCAAAGCACGAAGGTGAAGCGATCCTGTTGGCAGAGAGTGAGCCCCCTGACAGCTCACCATTCAAGCACCCTCACTTCTCGAGCGCGAGGAGGGGGGGCGGGGAAGGGGACCGCGGAACGTTTCAGGCCAAGGAGACGCTCGCGGCGGCGGCATCTTTTAAGACTGACCTGCTTTAAAAGTGCCACTTTAATGGCCTAGGAAATAACTAAAATCGGATTACACGTTACTTACCAATGTCTGCACCCAAACTGGGAGCCCCAGATCGGGTTTTAGGAGGCAGTATACGAAACGCCGGGCTGGAACCCGAATGCAAATCCATCAGCTGCTGCCCCCAAATCGCGCACGCAGGAAGCGGCGCTCGGGAGCCCCCAGATCAGCCCATCGCCGGAGCCTCCGCCAGCATGTGCCCCCTCCCCCCCCCCGCACCCCCGGCCCCTCCTCCGCGCCAACTGTGTAAATCAGCCGCCGCAGTCCTCTATCCGCGCTTCGCAGGCAAATCCCTGCTTAGGAAGCAAGGAAGCGAGTGATCTCTCTCTCTCTCTTCCTCTCTTATTCTCTCCTCTCATTCTCTCTCCTCTCATTCTCTCTCATCTCATTTTCCATGGGTCACAATCTGGCAGCTCTACAAAGAGAAGCCCTGTAAAATTGAGTGGCAGGAAGTCAGCATTCTGTATCTGTGGATTGATTTTAACTTTTATTTGCAAATGAGAGGTGGCTGTTTGGAAAATTACAGGCCAGGCCCGAGGGGTTTGGGCGGGGTCATTAAATTAAGAGCATCTGAGCTGTATTGATGGGCGGTATCGCTAAACGCCTCCTAGAAGCTGTTTCCAAGTGATTTACAATGCCCCCCCCCACCCCGCTTCGTGATACATAGGTGACATTTTGGAAGTACACAGATTTCCTCGTCTGTTTACACTCACCAAGAGGGAGGAAAATAAAACTAGAGTGAGGGGAGGTGTGAGGGGCATTTGCGGGAGAGATGCTGGATACTATTTTGTGACAAATTAAATGAGGACACTTGAGCTATTATTGCACCTATGTGAAAGTATTATTACAACATTATATACCCACTGGAGGCGACCATTACCCCCACTGCAGTCATACTAATGCAGTCAGTTAATGTTCCATTCAATCTGCAGTGTAAACCAACGCAGTTTTTTTTAATAGATCCCTTTCATCAGCGACTGTGTTGGAGAGAGGACAATCTTCCACTAACTTCCAAACTGAATAGGAAGTAGTCCCAGGAATCATCTTTGTATCTCTTGCCATTCCTAACTGAAGTGAATGGAATAAATTGTCCAAGACAAGCAAAGTTGTGTAGCTAGTATAATGTAGACATAAGCTGACTTCAACCCTCTTTGCAAAAGCTCTCAAAGGAGCTAACTCAACCCTAACAAAGAGTACTCTCTGTTATATATGAAAATATGCCTGGAGGTATGATTTTAGCCTTTATTTAATGGATTTTCTGTATACTATATTACACCTTTGTTACTCTATGTTATATACATATTATACCACAAGTCTAGTGTCTGTATTACCTTCATTAAAAGAGAGAAGAAGATGCAACTGTTCAGAGTGAAAACCAAGGGCCTGTGGAATTCTTTTGGATTTTGTACATAAATTAGCCAAATTCAGTATGGCAACTGTGTTGGTTGTGCATAAAGTGAATTTAGATTGCTTTTTAAACATAGTGTTTCCATTTGTTCTTCACAATGTTGTTCCTTAAGATTATTTAGATTAATAGGGTATCTGTAGGGACCTAGAAAGTGGTGAAAGCAACATGATAATGAAACATGCTTTTATCTATTTTTATTTTATTTTTTAAAGATTTTATTTATTTATTTGTCAGAGAGAGAATAAGCAGGGGGAGCCTCAGGCAGAGGGAGAAACAGGCTCCCTGCTGAGCAGGGAACCTGATGCGGGGCTCCATCCCAGGATCCCGAGATCATGACCTGAGCCAAAGGCAGATGCTTAACGGACTGAGCCACCCAGGGGCCCCTTATTTTTATTTTTTTTAAAGATTTTATTTATCTATTTTTAGAGAGAGGGGGAGTGTAAGCTTGGGGGGGGGGCAGAGGGAGAGGGAGAGAGAGAATCTCAAGCAGAGTCTGCACAGAGTCAGAAGCAAGGCTCCACCTCACAACCCTGAGATCATGACCCCAGCTGAAATCAGAAGTTGGTTGCTTAACCGACTGAGCCACCCAGGCGCCCCCCCTATACTTTTAAATATTGTTTTTCAAATCTACTGGCACACATTTCAAACCCTCCTCAGTAGTTTCTTGGGTAATAAACGTTTCCATGTGAAGCATATGTGAAGACATGGATAAGAAAAGAGTATTTGTCTTGGGTTTTTCACTTACAAGGTCTCCAAATTGAGTTTTAAAAGATATATCCAGGCAAGGTTGTGAAAAGGGTACATCTCTTGGGCGCCTGAGTGGCTCAGTTAGTTAAGCAACTGCCTTCGGCTCAGGTCATGATCCTGGGGTCCTGGGATCGAGCCCTGCATCAGGCTCCCTGCTCCTCAGGGAGCCTGCTTCTCCCTCTCCCTCTGCCTGCCGCTCCCCCTACTTGTGCTCTCTCTCTGTCAAATAAATAAATAAATAAAATCTTTAAAAAAGAAGGTCCATCCCTATAACAAATCAGTCTGATTTAGGAGAGACTGAGCTACATCAGTAGGCTGATGAGTCATAGAGATGTTTTTGGCCTTTTCAGGTGGTTGCTCAATTCGAGGAGAATCACTCCTGAGTACACCATATTCTATGTGGGCAAGTGTGAAATCACACACATGCCCCTGAACCTCAAGGCTGGAGGATATTAGAGTAACCCTGAAAGACATCAGGCAACATCATTCCTAAAATAGCTGAATCTCTTTACCTTTTTGGAGTTTTTTCATTTTATTTGATTTTCATTTATTTTGATTTTTGTCCATAAGAGAACTCTGCATGTGTTAATATATTTACTTTGAGCAGATTTTGTTATGATTTGATGGTACTGGGGAGCTACAGAAGATTGAATAGCTAGGATGGGTTGTTAGTGTTAAAAGTGAGTACTTCCAACATAAATATTTCAGGTCAGATAAAAATGCTGTGGGATAAGTGATTGTGATGATCCTTTGAGTGATTCTTTGTTGTGACTTTTTTAGTGCATTCTGCATAGGTATTTATTTACATGCCCATAGTTTTATATACATATACATATATATATATTTAGTCCCAAGGGCATATATATGTATATATATTTAGTTCCAAGGACAACAGTATTTTTCAGTTTCCTTTTAACTATTCTGTCATTTTCCAGAGAGAGTCAGTGGTATTAAAGTGAATAAAGTAGACATATTTTTCTTATCTAGCATATATTTTACTCATTCTGATTTGACCAAAATAAATACATTTTTGAAAGATAATACTAATTAAGGTAGTACTAGAGAGTTTCTTTTATAATGGAGCATTCACCCAAGAAAGCTCTAAACTCTGCAGTAATTTATGATTACATACCTAAGTCATCTATATATTATATTCATCTGTTTTTGTACAAGCATTCATGAAGCCTCTCTCTATCCTTTTTTTTGTTTTTGTTTTTGTTTGGTCCATTCCAAATAATTTTCAGGCTGACAAACTACATGCTTGATAATTATCAAAAAACTAATTGTATCAGGGCGCCTGGGTGGCTCAGTTGGTTAAGCGACTGCCTTCGGCTCAGGTCATGATCCTGGAGTCCCTGGATCGAGTCCCACATCGGGCTCCCTGCTCAGCAGGGAGTCTGCTTCTCCCTCTGACCCTCCCCCCTCTCATGTGTTCTCTCTCATTCTCTCTCTCTCTCAAATAAATAAGTAAAATCTTAAAAAAAAAAAAAACTAATTGTATCTTCATTTGAGCAACTTTTGATACCAACTTTGAAACAATTGAAAATATAGTTACTCACACAATACAATTTTATAAATGAAAATTTAGTCTGCAAAACATTAAGCAAGTAAAAACATGATAAAACAGAAATTAAGGGGCACCTGGGTGACTCAGTCGTTAGGCGTCTGCCTTTGGCTCAGGTCATGATCCCAGGGTCCTGGGATCAAGCCCCACTTTGGGCTCCCTGCTCCATGAGGAGCCTGCTTCTCCCTCTGTCTCTGCTGCTCCCCCTGCTTGTGCGCTTGCACTCTTTCTCTCTGTCAAATAAATAATCTTGAAAAAAAAATTAAATGTTAGCATTTATTTGAAAGAATTCAAAGGATTGAACAATTCAGACTGAAGGTTACATATTTACATAAATGTTTATTTGTGTATGTCTTCCTATAACTCCATAGAAGGAACATGTTTGAAAGGTTTTATATTTTGTAGACATTCCAAAGCCATTGGTAACTTTGTTTTTTCAAAAACATCTTGTAAAATTTAGTGAATCACAT